TTCCTTGTCAAAAAAGCGGACTTATCTGTAAAATTTTAGGATAATATGAAGCAGACAGCTGGCTTCGAATTTCAGATGCTCATTCATTTGTTTCACTTGTAATCTCATTCAGTTGAATATTCAGTTATAAATATTATTTTGAAAACGTTGTTTAACGTATTCTTAGTTTTTCTACGTTGACATCTAGTTGGTGCGACATTTAAGGGTATTCTAATTTCTTGTAGCTTACGCAAAGTTTCTTCAGAACATCGACTTTATATGTTGAGAAAGTACGTTTAGTAGATGTTTAGTAAACAAGAATTATGTCGTGCCGCAAGCAATGGTAGGATATAGGATCCAATTCTCACTTCTCATCACTAACTCTCATCAAAAACGTTTTCACAGGTGGTTGATTATCTAAAACTCGATGAAGAGGAGCGGCCTGGCCTTATCATGGCTTATGTTTGGGAGCCCGATTACACTGGACACCGAGCAACGGGTGAAAAGGTGGGATTTATCTTCATCACGACAAGTTTTGTAGTATACCTTAGGTATATGAACAAGTACGGTCGTTAGACGCATCAATTGAGCGTTTTCTGAACAAGCTTTCTGAAGAAGGCATGCTAGGCTGCGTTAACATAGTAATCGTATCTGATCATGGTGAGTGCTTCGTACAACAGATCATATTCTTCAAGAGTAACTGCAGGGATGTCGGTGATCAAAAATCGTGTAGCCTTGGACGAAATGTTGAATACAGATGGTCTCGTAATCGTGCCAGGTGTCAATACTTTGATGTTTCGAAATGGCTCAAGTGAGTTTTATTCATTTGCATTCATTCCTTGTAATGCATAGAAATTGTTCAGAGTGTGACGCAATTTCTCACATTCATCTAGCCCATAAGTCTTCAGCAGAAAATGGTCAGAACTTAACCCACCCATTCCAAACAAGCTGTTATTTTCGGACTCGCCTTCAAACGCAGATTTCAAATATATAGTTTTTAGCTGCCAAACGACCATCTGGAAGGTTTAATGAGCATCCAAAGTGAGAAATTATTCGAATTCCCACAGATTTAGTTCATTGAAATGCAGTTTGATAGCGCGGATTTACAGTGGCTATGGGTACTCCAATTAGAAAGATAAAATTCAATCACAAAAAACCTAAAAAAGTGTTTTTATAACGTTTTTCGTGGATAATGGGGCATAGAATATTTACGAGTCGTACATTCAAACGCTTGTAACTGCTTACAGATAGTCGTTTGGCAGACAAAAGACTTGTTTTTGAAATCACCGTTTCAAGGCGAATCGGATGATATATAGCTTGCCTGGTA